CTCTAAAGAACTTATCAAACTGAACACCCAAAGAAGAAATAATCCAATCAAGAAGTGGGCAGAGGACATGAACAGACATTTCTGCAAGGAAGACATCCAGATGGCCAACAGACACATGAAAAAGTGCTCCACATCACTTGGCATTAGGGAAATACAAATGAAAACCACAATGAGATACCACCTCACACCAGTCAGAATGGCTAAAATTAACAAGTCAGGAAATGACAGATGCTGGCAGGGATGCGGAGAAAGGGGAACCCTCCTACACTGTTGGTGGGAATGCAAGCTGGTGCAACCACTCTGGAAAACAGCATGGAGGTTCCTCAAAAAGTTGAAAATAGAGCTACCCTATGACCCAGGAATTGCACTACTGGGTATTTACCCTAAAGACACAAATGTAGGGATCCGAAGGGGCACATGCAACTGAATTTTTATAGTAGCAATGTTCACAATAGCCAAACGATGGAAAGAGCCTAGATGTCCATCAACAGATGAATGGATAAAGAGATGTGGTTTATATTTGCAATGGAATACTATGCAATCAAAAAAAACCCCTGAAATCTTGGCATTTGCAACAACGTGGATGGAACTAGAGGGTATTACACTAAGTGAAATAAGTTAGTCAGAGAAAGACAATTATCATATTATCTCTCTGATATGAGGAATTTGAGAGGCAGGGCAGGGGGTCGTGGGGGAAAGGGAGGGAAAAAATGAAACTAGATGGGACCCGGGAGAGAGACAAACCGTAAGAGGTTCTTAATCTAGGGAAACAAACTCAAGTTTACTGGGGGTGGGAGGGGCGGGATAGGGTGGCTCAGTGATGGACATTGGGGAGGGTATGTGCTATGGTGAGTGCTGTGAATTGCATAAGACTGATGATTCACTGACCTGTACCCCTGAAGCCAATAATACATTATATGTTAACAAACAAAAGAAAAGAAAAGAAAAACAAATACAAAAACCTTAGAGAAGTAATGTTTACCTGGTAGACATAAGAAAAAAAGAAAATAAAAAAGTCATCTGTGCAGACCAAAGGACTTAACTCAATCGCTTTAAGCAGGGGTCCTGGTTACTGCGGTGCTCTACAGGGCTGAGACTGAATTGTAAAAGAAGGATAAGGTGAGCACTGCTAAAGATTGTGCAGTCTTGAAAAATTCAAATCTCTTTCTATCATGTAAGATGCCTGATGTTATTTTCAATAAAATAGTAGTAATAGCTAACATTTTAAAAATATTTACTGACTACTCGATAGTTGTTCTAAGCATTTTATACATAGGATCTCATCTTTCATAACAGCACTACAAACTAGGTTCTCCTCCTCTCCATTTTATGAGGAGGAAAAGAACTCATCTCTGACATCACAGTGTCTGGAAAATGATAAACCCCAAAATAGACATTGAAACCATAAATTAGGGAATGAGTGAAAAGGATTGGAAGGAAGACAAGAAATGAGGAATTAGAGATAGCCACAGAGCAAGAGAGAGAGAAGATTCTGGAAAAACTGGCAATAACAAAGATCAAACAACATTAAGACAAACAAAAAGACCACAAACAGAGGAAGACGAAGGACTGAAATGATCTTCAGTACAATAACAAAATTAGACCAGGAATAATTGCATAAAATGCATCAGAAATTCAAGTGGCTATAAAAACATCAAACACACCAGACAGGATGTAAAAACACACATGTTTCACCATTTGGGGCCATGCTGCATGTACCTTGGGCATAGTTTAGACAAAGAAGAGAAGTAGTCTACCAGAGAAGATGGAAATTGTTTCCTCCAAGGTACAAGAAATAAAAAAAAAAAAAAAAAAAAGAGAGAGAGAAAGAAAGGGAAGGAAAAAAGGAGAATGGCAGGAAGAAGGAAAAGAGGAAGAAAGACTAGCATCCTCATTGTATTTACGCTGACTCTTGGCACCCAGATACTACACAGTATAAAATTCTGCTCTGAAGGAAGTGTCAAGAATAAACATGCAGTTCGACATTCTGAGGCATGCCTTTCTCTACCCAAAAATGTGTATGAAAATCAACAAGAAATATAGTCCATTGCATGATGCTTGTTCTGGAAGAAAAGAGCACCATTCTTACTGGAACTTTAGTCTAAAGAAGCAACTCTATTGCAAGAGCAGGAAGGCTAAAACACAGAGTATGCCCCAGTGGTACATAGGAAGACAGCACAAAAAGTGAACTAAGCTCCTAATCTGGACAAAAAGGTACAGAAGAATAGCCTGGGAGAAATCCTGAGAACTTAGTAATGTGTTGAAAAAAACAGTTTTTAGGGCCACTAAGAAAGAAAGTGTTTAGAGTAGTACAGAGACTACAAGATTCATCGAGAAGGTTGTCAGAGATGGATGAAGTGATTCCTACCCCTCCGTGCACTGGCTTCACCCACCTGAAACCAGGATTGGCCTGAATGTCACACAGCAGGGAAAAATACCACTCACCTTTGACGTGCCTATTGTCTAGTACCATTTCTACTACCAACTAGTTGGGGAACTTACACCACCTCTCTGAGATTCCGCTTTCTTATTTGTAGGAAACAAAAATTTATATTGATCAGAGAGATCGTTTCTAATTTAGTAAGCAATTCTCTGGGGGCCCTCAGTAAGAACGGAAACAGGGACCACTGTAAGGAGGATCATGCAACAGCAAATAGGGAAAGTCTTCATTAAAAAAAAAAGTCACCCACTGTTGGAAGAAGATGGACAACTTCAATGTAGGAATCTCTGCATTACATGGTACTCCTTTGCAAAAGTGACAACTACTGAATTTCAGAAATTTCTAAACTCTTACAATATGAAAATCATGGTCGCCTTTTGAATGTCTGTGAATTTTAAGTTTTTAATGATTTTAAGTTATCCTTCCACCTGACCCTTGGAATCGTTTTCCCTCAAAAACTTCCTCTCTGATTGACCCAAGTCTTTCTTCAGTGCCTGTAGTTCCATCTCATCTTCAAAAGCACCTATCGAGATTATGATATTTCCTTTGTATCTAGATATTGTCATGCTATTTATTTTTGAAAACTATTAATTCTTCTTTCAACAAAGATTTTTTTGAACACCTACCATGTGAACAATGATAGGAGCGAGGAATACAGTGATGAAAACAGAAGCCATCTTCAAGGACTTCATGGTCTGATGGAAACAGCATAGTAACAATTAAGAGGGGACAGGAATGCTCTAATTTCTAAAACATCAATCTTAGATATGTAATTAAATTTTACAGTAGGGCAAAGAGTGAAGGACAAGGATTATTTTTTTCTTTCTTGATTCCATTAGAGTACCAAGCTACAGAGCTTTTCTAGAGTAAGTGTTCAATAAACACTTGATTGTTTTATTGTTACATGGCCACTGTGTCATAACTGCCTTTGTTCTCTGCGTAGCAACTGAGTCTTTCACCCACTGTTCCCAATTAAACATTTGCTGAATGGCTATTATGTGCCAGACATTGTGCAATGTCCAGGTGGTCCTGGCTGTCAAGGAGAAAATAGTCTGGATTAGCCAGGCATGTTTACACATAATTAGAGTACCACTGAAGATACACCAGAGTACTATGGGAGCAAAGAGGTGTGACCAACTTCATTTGGGGAAGTAACTATAATTTTATATTATAATAGGATCCTTAAAGTGCAAAAGTTTTACAGGCAAAGGAAAGTGGGAGAGGCTATTCTAGGTCATAAGAACATCATGTACTAAAGTACAGAAGCATGAAAAAGCAGATGGGTTTGGAGATTAGCAAAGCATTAAGTATGGATAGAATTGAGGTGGGTGGGAACTGACTGATGAGAGATGAGGCCACAGCTGAACTGAGAAGAGCTTTGTATGCCAAAGTAATGAACCGAGATATTATTCTATGGAGATTAAAGAACAAATGGAACATTTTAAGAATCTAAGAATTGTGATTTGATGCCTTTATTTATTTGGGAGGGACCATGCCATGACAATGTGGAGACCAGTATATGTAAGGATAGCTTGTAGAGAGATAGTAGGAAGGGTGGTTAGGAGTGGTGCCGGGTGGCTCAGTGTGTTAAGTGACCGACTCTTGATTTGGCTCAGGTCATGATTTTAGGACTGTGAGATTAAGTCCTGCTACGGGCTCCACACTGGGTATGCAGCCTGCTTAAGATTCCCTCTTTCCCTCTTCCTCTGCTCCTCTCTTTTTCTCCCTCTTAAAAAAAAAAAAATTAATTTAATTTAAAGAAGGCTGGTTATGAAAGAGTTCCAAGCCCAAAATGATAAAGTCCCAGCTAGGCTGGAGGGTGTATTGGAGATGTATCCACAACAGGATATGCTGAGTCAGTGGATGGGAAATACAGAGTGGGAGGTAAACCAAGTCTGCATTGTCTCTAAATTGGGAGCCCAGTGGGAGCCGTGATGTCATAAAATAGGAAGAAAGGCAAAGTCTGAGTAAAAAGGCCACTACTGTAGATTTAAATCCTGTCTGGTGTACTCATTGTTCTGCAATTCAGGTAAGGTAATTCACTTTGCTGAGCCACAGCTACATCATCTACAAAATGGAAAAATATTATCTACTTCATGGGATCATCAAGGTTAAACAGGAGTAAACCGTATGAAACCATGTAGCTTACTGCCTGGACAGAGAAGTTGCTTGATAAATATTTGTTGAATGAAGAAAACTGTCAGAAATAGAATAAAGAGCAGAGACTAGGGTTTAAAACTAGGCTTTGTTGTGTGACCTTGAGCATGTTACCTAACCTCCTTCACATGTGAAATAGGGAAAATTTATCCTATCTCACTGGCTAGTTGGGAGGATTGAATTGGAAACCCTATGCAGTGCCTGAGCTGGCACACAATTAGGGTTAAATAAAATGTGCATTGAATAAAAATATAAATTAGCTCAACTGTGGTCAGTACATCTTGTTTACAGAGGTAGAAAATGACCTCAGTTTACTAAATATTACATACAAGCTCACATACTCACAAAAGAGAACACTAAGTCTGTTTCACATTAGAATTTAAAATTATAAGATACCATTGTTTGAAAAGCTAACTTGCGTAGAAAAGTTTATTTTTCAATGTCAAGAAAAGTCACGCCTATTTGTGTTGTATAAAAATTAGAAAATACCTTCATATTGTCCCATTAAAAAACAAAACAAAATAGCTAAATCTTTGTGCAGAGTATAGATGACCTGCATAACTTTTGTTCTATAGAAGGGATACTGAGAAAACAATTATTTTTAAATAACCCAAGTACAACCAGCATTATTACTTCATTTTTTATTTATTTGAATGCCTTTGATGATTTATTTGGATTCTGTTCCTGCTTGGATAAATGCATTTCACTTTGTGTATTGTAGCTGTGACAGATAATGCTAGATGATCCTCAATACACCTCGACTTTCTTCTAATAGAGTAACTAACCTCTCCAACCTCTGACCTTCCTCCACCCCATTTTTTAGAAACATGGCCTCCCAACTATGGACTACATTTCCCAGCATCTCTAGAAGCTAGATAAGTTCGTGTAAAACTTCCGGGCAATAGAAGAGGAGTGAAATCGATATCTTTAATTTCTGGGTCATCTCCTTAAACATTTGTCCTGTACTCTCCCCTGTCCCTTCTTCTGTGGGCCATAGGACAGATGTGGTAGAGACCAAGGTTCTGTAACCCTGAAGAACATGACATCAGGGAATGGTAATGCAGCATAAAGGAAGGCACTTGCGTCCTTTAATGACCTAGAGGAGTCAGTCTACTTCACCACCTGGACCAGCGGGACTGTAATGTGAGAAATGCATTTCTATCTATGTAAGCCACTACATTTTTTTTTTAATCGTTGTTATTATAGCATCTCAATTTCTATCCCATGTATTGCAGGGTTTGACCTTATTTTTCAAGAAAAAAGTGATTTCAATTGTGAAAATTGCCTCTAGGACCTTATGGGACAAATAGATTTTTAAAGACAAAGGTCTGATGTGTCAGGCTGAACTCTGAATATTCATTACCACACCAAGGTTATTACCAAGGGCTTTCTATCACTCCTTATTTAATAATAGTATTTTGAGTTTTAATGGAGAATGCTTGTCAATTTAGTTGGTTTTGATTATGATTATGCTGTTGTTTGCCATGAAGTAATTTTTTTATTTCTTTTACCGTCTTCTGCCAGTCAATATTATTTGAATAAACTAAAGACCTTTCAATTAGACTTAACCACAAATTAGATTAAAAACTGGGGGTCTCAAAAGAGAATGTTTAAAAAAATGGTTCATTAAGTTTTAACCATGAAATAATAGTGTCATTTTGTATACCATAACCACTAATTTCCTTTAAGACATTTTTTCTTTAAACTAATGACCAGTCAGCATCGGAAATAGAATTCTATTATATTGTTTTGCCACTCTTGTGGCAAATGAGGTAAAATATGATTCAAGATTCTAGTTTTGCATACCTTCAGCATAGGGTATTTGCATCAGTATTTTTATTACTAGTGTAATGAATAGCTATGCAATGGCTTAGTTATCAAAAAGTTAAGTCATAAAAAAGATAGGTAAGAAAATAATTAGAGCATCAGGTGCTGGTGGAATGTAGCATAATATAGACAGAACATATTACAGTTATCATATATGGTCACCTACACAATCTAACCCAATCACACATAGGACTGTCTTGGATCAAATGATTTGGAAAACAACTGCACTACTGATATGTCAGTCACTTTCAGTAATTCTCAACTTCAAAAAAGCCAAATCAGTTTCTTCCCCTCGTCTTCCAAGTAACCAGTGACAGCTGCTGTAAGTGGAAAGAACTCTTGGCTAGGAATCAGGAAACTTCATTGCTAGGCTTGGCTTTCCCACTTAGGAAGTGTGAATTTGGGCAGGTCATTTAACCTTTGTGCAGGGTGATTATGAAGCTCAGAATAGGATCATCTATAAGAAGTGTTTCGGAAAATAAAAAGCTTTATACAAATATGCAATAGTATGTGTGCGTATATATGTGTGGGTGCATGTAAGAAAAACTAACATCATCATTAGTAGAAAGCCACCTATAAATGTATTTGTTCATACGTATGTATGAACACACATATATAGATATATACATATAGATATATACATGTGTATACATAAAGAAACACACACACATATTTACTAAATTAAAAACATTTACTATCTAGGATTTATGTCCTGGCTACTTCTGAAATGAATCAAGGTAGTTACAGATTAACACACAATGCCAAGGTGCAATGAAAAGCTTTAAAAAAAAAGACAAAGTCCATGTAGACAACATTTAAGAAGTATTCTCTGGTGGAGCCCCTTGGCTCTTCATTGATGGTTGACAGCAAAGAAGACATGGGGAGTTTCATTGTAATAAAGACAGGTTACCAATAATTTATTGAACACCTGTGAATTATCCCACCCCAAAGAAAAGTTAGAATCTTAACGATGACCTACATCTAATCAAAAGATTTCACCCATATCCTATTCCTTTGTCTCCCCTCTCTGGGTGATAAAGTTAATAGGTCACCTCTGCCAGAGTTTTCAGGAAGTAACATCTGGGAAGTGTCAAGTTCCCATAGTGAATACAAGACAAACATTAGGCTTGTACCCTAAAGTCGGTAGGACTGCTACTATAACCATCTTTTAAACTTTTCTCTCCATGATCATCTAAGATTAAGGAACAAAATGACAATCCTGAGAACAACTAATCTCCTTTACCTAGTCCCACACCACCTGATAATTGTTGAAGAACCCAAAATCTCCTCTTCTAAAGTAATTTTAAGTGAGCTACATTCCTTTTTATATAAATATAAATATAAATAAGTTAGGGATGAATTTCATTGTGAGGCAGAGGGTAATACAAACTCCTTTGATTTGTGAGCTCAGACAATGTTATTCTATTTTGAAACCATCCATCAATACCCTTTGATCTTTATTTTAAAACAACTAAGAGGAAAGCATTGAATTTTACAGTCTCAGTCCTCATTGTGAACTACAAATATATTATACTGTATTTTTATTGGACAGAGTAGCATTGATGGTCATCTACCTCAATTGAAACTCACAGATTAAGCACCAGATTAATGAGGATGGGCCAAAAAAATGGCATTTGATGTTTTTCCCCACCTCTCCCACTCCCAGCCTTTAAAAAAAAATGATAATGTATAAAATGGCTTCGAAATCTCTTCATAGGAGGCAAGGAAAGAGAGAGCAAGAGCTGATCATTACCAAACATTCTGTACTTTGTTCTACTGCAGTGGTTAGTTTGCCTTATCACCAACCAAAGGAATCACTTCAGGAGCATCTCCAGGCATTAAAAAAGCTCACAACTACGACATTCGCCTTCAGAAGTTGGAATTTCTTCTCCAGACTAATATTTCTATTTTCTGATACCCACAAAAAACAGTTCCTAAGGAAGAATTCTGTAGCAACATACTCAAAACTTGTCACCTTAGAACCATAATGTGCCTTTTTTCTAAAGGAGACCTCCAAAAGCAGTGTCTCATTTAGTATTACAGTGTCCTTGCCAAAGAGGCTGCAGAGAACACCAGCTCTGTTTTACAAATGGAGGCCCGAGTGTCATCCTAGCCTCTCTTCATACAGAGAGAATGAGAGGAAGCAGTGACAGCCACATATTCTACTCATTTCTTGAACGTGCATTTGTGAACTCACATGTCAATGACAGACTCCTTAAGCAGGTGCAGAATAAACAAACAGAATATATCGGGAATGCTGGTCCTTGTGATTAGAATTTAATCTGTCTCAGGAAGCAACTGCACAGGGACAAAATTTATACAAGTAAACATAGTTTAATTGATTCAGGACTCACCTGACCCCTCTTGTCCTCTTGGAGCTGTAAATACCTGCCCAGATTGGCAGAGTCAGCTAGAACAGACAATGGAGAGAGAGAGAGAGAGACCCCGAGATCTTAGTCTTTATAGGCAACCCCCTCTCTCTTCAAACATCTTCTTCATTCTGATTGGCTTCTGGTTCTTTCACTGCCCCTTGCCTTTGAATTGTTCTCCACTCAGCAACTTGCAGGGTTAATATCTCCAACTTCCCCCAAAGCATCTACGCATGTCCTGGGCACGTATGTGTATTTCCAGTGACCCAAAGTGACAGTCAGTGGGAGGTATCTTCTTGTAACTCCTTTTCCTGGAGACTTGTCTCTCCCTTGCATGGCTTGTCTTGGCTCTTCTAAAAGGCTAAAGGAGGTTATCCACTCTCTTCACCCACAGGTTGCAAACCATAATGTGGCTCTGTTTTAGAAGGATGGCCTGCATGACTTGCATATCACTGCCAGAAAGAAAACTCAGGTTCTATATTTGAACCCCTACCTTGTCCAAATCAAGCACCTCCAAAAATTATGAGCTCATTATTGCCTTTCTATTTGATATCTTCCTACCCAGGTTAACAATATTTCTGTTCTTAATCTGATTTTCAGCCCTTTTTTCTTCTTTATAAAGTTTTCTTTATAAAGTTTCTTCTGACACAGGTGAAGCTATGGGTTGTTTTCTGAAGAAAAGAAAAAGAAAGAAAGAAAGAGAAAAGTTCTTTTATTCCTAGCTTCCCATACCATCTTACAGAATGAACATATGTGATTTTCAAGGAATAATAACTGGAATAATTTTGTCATTTTATCTTAATTTCTTGATTACACAAATGAAAGTTCACGTCAAATTCTGCCATAAGACAAGGGAGTTTCCCAATTACTTTCTTGGGGTAAAACATGATTATACCCATTATTGAGTGAAAGCAAAAGAGAAGCTTAAGAATAATTCAGCTCAGGGCACCTGGGTGGCTCAGTTGGTTAAGTGTCTGACTCTTGATTTCAGCTCAAGACGTGATTTCAGTGTCATGGGCTGGAGTGATATGTTGGGTTCTGCACTGAGCATGGAGTCTGCTTAAGAGTCTCTCTCTCTCTTTAAAAAAAAAAATTCAGATATGCATAGACTTTGCTATTATAATGATATTTGTTGAATTGGAAAATATCCAATATACTGTTTTTTAATTTTACCATGACCAGTTTTGATAACCAGAATGTAATAACATGATTACCTACAAGTAACTTGAATTTTACAGCCCTGATCTATACAGAGTCTGGAAAAATATCTTCTTAAAATCATGTTCAATTGAATTTAACTGATTTCTGCCAAAGAGACAAATGTCATCTTTCCCTACAGTCTTTTTTCCAGTGTAATTCAATTAGTAATGAGATTCAGCATTTTCAACAACATGTTTAATCTAAGTTTAATCTTTTGAAGTCTTGAAACATATAATGTACCCCCTTCTTCCCAATATTCTCTGGGATGGAGATGTACTGAATGTCCTCTCAGAATTCTCGAATGTTGAGTTATTTTTGATTCAGAACATTTCCACTTGTTGCCCTTGGGTAGACATGCCATATTATCACATTACCTTTGGAATCTCTTTAAACTGTGACCCACATTCTTAGTAAGGCAACGAGATATGAACACCTTCCTTCCCACCAACTTTTTTTTTTTAATGACATCTCCCTTGAGTAACTGGTCACCTTGCAGGGTCTCAGTTCATTAAGCTGAGTACACATGATACATATTCCTGTGAACTATAGGGGCTTTTTGTTTTCCTTAACTTGGAAGCACCAAGAACTTTAATATTGTCCCACATACTTGAATTGTAATGTTTAGAATATTGTCCTAGAGAATTTCATTCCTCAGTATTTCTCATACTTTCTTTACACCCTGAACACCAATTACACATGTGTGTACACTCATATATTCACAGTTAAAAACTTAAGTTTTAGGTTAAGTCCCACCTATCTAACTTGCAATTCAGATCTTTAGGTAAAAGAAAATTGTCATTTATCTTTTAACATTCATTATTGCTTTCTGTGGATACTGATCAGGGTATGCAATCTTTCACAATAATCTTTATCACATGGTCTGTTTGAAAAAAATCTTGTGAAGTCATTGTCTCCTTGTCTTCACCTCTCCCCTTCAAGTGCCCAATCCAGTCTTCAGAAGTGTGTTTAGCTAACACAGACTTCTGTCTACTCCCCAGATGTCTTGATTTTAATCAAGAATGAATTTTAATGAATTTCTAAATTGCATGTTTTCAGATACCCTTAAAGGGGGATAGGGGAACTGGGGGTAGAAACATTGCCAGTGCTTTGAAAGGAAGATACCAAAAAGAAAAGTGGCAAAATGCATAGCTTGCAATTTTAATGAACAAAGTTGTACCAATTGATCATTGTATTTCCTTACACTATTTCTAATATTTACCCTGCAGAGTGAGTATTATTCTTATTAACCCCATGTTTACAAATAAGGAAGCTGAAGATCCCAGTTGTTTTATGATTTGCCCAGGGTTAGAGAGCAGTGAAGTGGCCCGGCCAGGATTTAAATCAGTTCTATGGATGCCTGTGCCCACCTACCTAGACTTTGGGGAAGGGTAAGAGTTCAAAATATCCAACTGTCAGCTCCAAGTAATTTGGAATTTGTTCAGACCAGAAGATACATATAGAGAATCTAAAAATGCCCTTCCTTCCATATCTTTAAATCCAAGGAAGGTATAAGAGTAAAACATAAAACATGGACTTAGAGGTCAGAAGACACCGGGTCAAATTCTGTTTCTGACAGTTATTGTACTGGCTCTTACCCTGAGTAAAGTTAGCTGTTTGGAGCCAGGTTCTTCTATATAACAATGAATATAACAATACCAACTCCACTGGTCTACTGTGAGGATGCAATGAAAATAACTTACATGAAAATTTCAATGTGAGTGCCCCACTACTAGTAGGATCTCAATATTTTTTAAAAAGATTTTATTTATTTATTTATTTATTTGACAGAAATATAGAAAAGACAAGTAGTCAGAGTGTCAGGCAGAGGGAGATGCAGGCTCTCCGCGGAGCAGGAAGCCTGATGCGGGGCTTGATCCCAGGACCCTGGGATCATGACCTGAGCCAACGGCAGATGCTTAACCCACTGAGTCACTCAGGCACCCCTTATTTATAACCTTAAATAGTTGCAAAGGAAGATGTTTCTCAAGTCTGTGACAACTTATTCTTAAATGATCAACGGACAATAGCTACATCACTGTGGCTAAGAGTATAAATTCTAACTCCTAACTGCCGGTTTAAATCCTGGCTCTACTCTTAAAAAGTTGTCTGTCTTACTATATTTGCTCAATGCTTCTGGGCCTTAGTTTCCTTATCTATAAGAAATAGGAATAATAATAATGATAGCACTTACATGTGAGATTTTGTAAGATTTTAAATTCATTAATATAAGCGATTAGTACAGTGACTGGCACTTAGTAAGTGCTTTATACATGCTTGCTATTGCGGTGCCTGGTAGCTCAGTGGATTGGGCATCTGCCTTCAGCTCAGGTCATGATTCTGGGGTCCTGGGATCGAGTCCCGAATTGGGCTTCTTGCATAGTGGGGAGCCTGCTTCTCCCTCCCACTCTGCTCCTTCCACCTCACTCGCTCATACTCTCTCTCCATCTCTCTTAAATAAATAAAATCTTTAAAAAAATAAATGCTAGCTATTATTACTAACCAAGCAAATAATATAGCTAGGATAGTAATTCTCAGCCAGGGGTAATTTGGCCCCCCAGGGGACATTTAGTAATGTCTGGAGACATTTTTGATTGGTACAACTCAGTGAGGGGATGACATTTAGAGGGTAAAGACCAGGGATGCTATTAAACATTCTAATATGCATAAGATAGCACCTACAACAAAGAAATATCTAGTCCAAATGTCAATAGTGCCAAAGATAGAAATACTGAGTTGAGAAAAACCACTGCTGGTCAACAGAGATCCTGAGATACTTTCCCAGGGGGTATAAGAATTCACTAACCAAATATTGCTGGAAAATCAAATAGGTGTATAGAAACTGTACCTTATTCAATGTCAAGTAAGATAATATTGGAAAAAGTCAAATGGTTATTGGATATATGGGACTATAACATTTCAGTATGTCTTAAATTTATGTTAAAATGTTCTTTTAAAAGAGTAATATTTACTTCTTGTAAGATCATTATTCTAAAATCCATTGAATAAGAATTTGGAGAGTGGATAAGCAAGGATGTGCAAGGGCTTAAGAGCCTGCAGGTCCCATAAAAGTTAATGCTTGTCAATTTATTTGGATTTCTTCCCCCAGACCAGAGAAGATGGTCTGCATATCATGGACACTGGGTAGGAAAGAAAGTGGGCATGAATTTTCATGTTACTTTATATCTTCGCTCTCCTCAACCTCACTTGCTTTGTGGGCAGTGGGATTATTTAAAGAAAGCTAGATATAAAATGATCAAAGTATCTCTTTTCTCACAGTCTCGGGGTCTCAGGTGAATTTAGCAGGATCTTGCACTGGGAGGACACCTTATCAATCCTGTGACTTTCTCTAGATGTCCTCTAGCTTGGGTTGAAAAGGACATGTTGGCAACTCCAATCAGAACTAAGTAAGCCCAGGGGCGGCCTTTCCTTAAGGCCTTTCCTTAAGAATAGGCTTCCAACTCTTAGGAGGAAAGTAGGAAGCTCTCTATCTGGAGCACACTAGGTTTTAACTTTTGTTATCTGGGACCTAATGATTGATACTCAGGGAACTAAAAAGATAAAGTGAGGCCTCTTCTTTTCCAGTCTTTGGCAGGGAGATACTGCTCAAACACAAAACACTATTCCAATGAACAGAAGAAACATGGAGGTAGGACTCCTATTTAATGTTTGCAGGTAAGATCCAGCAGACAGGTTCGTATGAGTTGAGGATGGACTCAGTATTGTCTGCCATATAAAAGGAGGACTCTGTATCATTCTGATTGCAATGGGTTGAATAATAGTCCATAAATATATCAGGTCCTGATCCTCAGAATCTGGGAATGTTGCCTTATTTGGAAAAAAGCTTTCTGGAGATGTGACTAAATTAAGACTCTTGAGATATGGAGATTATCTTGGATTATCTGGCTAGGCCTTAAAGGTAATCAGGAGTATTCTTGTGAGAGGGAGGCAGAGAAAGATCCAACACACAGAGAAGAGGAAGCCGTGTGAACAGGGAGGCAAAAACTAGAGGGACACAGTCACCAGAAGTTGGATTGCGCAAGGAATGGACTCTCCCCTACAGCCTCTGAAATCAGTGCAGCTCTGCCAATACTTTGATTTCTGCCCAGTGAAAATCATTTTGGACTTTTGGCCTCCAGACCTGTGAGAAAATACATTTCTACTGTTTTAAGTCACCAGGTTGTGGTGATTTGTTTCAGCAGCTACAGGACACTTATACAGTTGTCATGACTGTGGCTTCTCTTCTCACAGGCATCCATAACCTGAACCTAAGTGGGAAAAAGGAAGTGGAGGAAGAGGAAGAAGAATGGGAAAACAAACAAACAAAAAACAACACCTAAAGGCAGGCAGGAGGTAGAAATTGAACAGGAGCAGGAAGAAAAGAAACAGAAAAAAGTGATAGAGAAATAATTCACTGAATGGTACAGGTCACGTGTGAATCATGTGGGGGAGAAGTACAGAGAGTCCCTAAATTCCCCTCTTATCTACATAGCAGACACTGAGGCTATGCCTTAGGCTTGAGTCACAGGACTTTAAAACATCTTTAAAACATCTTCATGATTCATCCAATGGTTATATGTAGCTCACTAAAGGTTTTCTCATCAAGGTTACCAATAACCTCCCTTCAGGCAAAAGACAGTAACATTTTAGTCATCAACCTCTTTAACTTGACTTGCCAACACTAAACATCAGTCAAGATTCTGCTCATAACCCACTTCTTCCATAAAATTTCCCTTGATCTTTGTTTCTATTTTCTGATTTCCTATGACACTCTTAGGAAATGTGGCTTTTCTTTCTGCCCCTCTAAAAGGAGGCCAGGGAGGCTGCTAAGCATCCTAAAACGCACAACACGACTCCCTACAACAAAGAATTATGATATTTTTATACCCCTCCAGCACTTGGCACAGGGCTGGTGTGGAATAGAGTCCTGTGGTGACTGACTACCTATTACTCTGTTCAATAATACAGATGGTCTCATCTCCTTCATTTTCTACCTATTTATCATATTTTACAATGATGATTGATAATGAGAATTATGTCCCTGAGGCATACTAGGCCTAAATCATAAAAAATAAACTGACAAAATTCATTCACTCTCTTGCTGGTTAAAAAGAAAAACAAATTTACTCGTACATTTTAGAAAGATTTCCAACTGGGAGAGTTGAGGCCAGAAAGCATTACTCATTCAACCTAATTTAACTCCAAGATGCAATTAACAGCAACTCCTCAAGTCCCAAATATTCACAGCATCTGAAGATTTACTTATGACCGGGAGAGTTACAGGTCTGTCCTAAAATATACCTGAGGGTATCAGCTTTCTGTTATTTATTTCCCAATACATGGCAACTCTTAGTATAAAAGTAAGTTTATTTTAAAATTGATTATATGTCCTGGCTTAAAATCTCCCAAAGGACATTCTGCATTTGGGGGGCTGTTTCTATGTTTCAAAGTGCTCATTTGCATCCAGGATAATTGAAATTTAAGTCCAGCTCAACAAATAGTTCCACAATAAGTGATCAGATAACTGCCCACATGCAAACCATTATTATGGGCACACATAGCCGAAGAATCCAGTCAAGGACGTAACAAGTGTCTGTGAGCATGCCTAGGATTTCACATTTTAATGTTTATTATTTCTTGTTTTTGAAGCATAAAAAGACCTAAGGGACATTGTGGCATTCCCATCATGTAAGAGCAGTTTATAAAAAACACATTACAAATTAAGAATCACAAACACATGGAGAATGAAAGTAAGTTAAATAAAACAATTGAACTAATTAACACACTTCCAAAACAGAAAACCAAGACTTAAAATATTGCACACCTTAGTGAAATAGCAGCCGCTCTTATTAAAGACCATATATTCCATTTATATAGTATTTTGTAATTTATTGCCTTTCCCACCTTGGAAAAATTATGTTAGTTATATGGCCCCATATTAACATTTTTTTGGCCTTTTATAAGTAACAGCTTTGAAACTGGACATTTAGCTATCCATTAAGTCAGTTGCTTGAGAAAAGCTTTCATTTTTTTTTTTTTTCTGGCTCTTTAGAATGCTTCAAAAGAATGATTCAGGGAAATCATAAAAGGATTAATTCAAAATGATGAACTGATGAAATTATAAAATGGAAATGCACCCCTCCACACACACCCACTCTGTTATCTATGTCTCTAAAGCATGGTGCCCTCACATTACTCATATATGCCACAGATTTCTATTTTGATGACATTAATTTAGTCCAGAATAATGACTGAGGTCAAAAGTCCTACACACCATGAAAAGCCGGGTTTTATGTAGAGAAAAGGGTACTTGATGAGGCTAATATTACCAGGCTTCTTTTCTCCACTTTCCAAAGAGAATCCAATGGGTTGTAGCCTGTTTTCCTGTCTGTTAATGATAAAATGCCTCGTATTCTACTAGCACTTTCTGAAACTCAAACTTCACTGTCTTCCTGAGACGAGTCTGCCCTGAAGGGAAAAATAGTTTTCTTCACCCAGCGCCTTTTTCCTTGTATTAATATTAATATCCCATGAGAATATTAGCTCTGGAGGAAAGAATTTGGTGGCAAAATTTCATATTTACTCATGAAATCCACCCCCAACTTCCACTCACAGATTTTAACAGGACAGTCAAAGGAAAAGCTCCCATGCTTACCGCCCTCTCTTCATGCTTCCCCTCAGCTTCTTATGACACCCACTCTGGGTTTATTTTCTGTTGATTTTTTTTTTTTTTTTTGAGTTCATCATGCCGAACCAAAAGCCACTTTTACTAGCAGAGGCTCTTTTTTAAAGAATACTTTGTATTTATTAGGGCAGAAAAGTATTTAAGTTAAAAAAAAAAATGACTTCCTTGACCTTTGGCTGAGGGTGAAGACAGAAAATGGTGTGCATCCAGTCCTCTGGCTCTACCCCTGCCCGCCTATTCTCCCCGTGCCTGGCCCTGCCTCATGGGTTGCAAGAAGTGTGTATCAAAGCCTCACGCATCAAATCTCAATAAGATTTAAGCAATGCAGTGGGGTTGACAGCAATTGCCTGTCCTTCCTCTCCTAGAAACGCTGTTCAAAAGTCTTGCTGAAGGAAACTCCTTGGTGCTACTTAATCTTTAAAATGATTTTTAAATGGCTATTTGCATATGTGACTGAGTGACAGAGCGCGTGAACTCTGGAGCGGCTCTCTGCATTTACATGCAGGCTCCATACTCAGCCTTGAGTCAGTTACTCTACCTCTCTGTGCCTCAATTTCCTGGTTTGAGGTACAAGTTGTTGTGAGGATTCAATAAGTTGAAATATGCAAAGTGCTTCAGAATAGTGTTGCCATGTGGTACACAGTCTGTTACAGATGAAGTATCTACGTCTGTTTCTCAAACATGAAGATTTGAAGACATGCTTGTAGCAATAGAGTATTTTGAACTCTGAACAACAGTTGACCTTGGAACAACATGGGGGTTCAGGGCCCTGACCTTAAACTCAGTCAAAAATCTTCATGTAACTATTGACGTCTCCAAAACTCAAATACTAATAGCCTACTGTTGGCCATAAGCCTGATAATATGAATAGTCAATTAACACATATTTTGTATGTTACATAATTTATTAAAAATATTCTTAGTGTATTCTTACAGTAAGGTAAGCTGGAAGAAAGAAAATGTTATTAAGAAAATCATAAAGAAGAAAAAAATACATTTATAGTACCGTACTATATTTGTTTTAAAAATCCAAGGTAAGTAGATCTGTGTGTTCAAAGTTGTGTTGTTCAAGGGTCAACTGTGTCATGTATGTGTATATATATGTATACTGTATACTGTATACATAATATATATAAAATATATATTTAAAAACATGTATATAATGTATTTTTATATACATATATATATAAAATTTGGGACTTGGCAAATAGTTGATGAATTAATACCATCTAACAGAATAAATATATTATCTAGAGTACAATTAGCTTTGTCACTGTTCTATATTTGGGGTAATCCATTGCTGCTAACCAATGGAGACAAGCATCACAGGGTTCAAAGTCAATTTATATGGATGAAGGGGCTCAGGCCTAGATAATAAAGAAAGAAACATGTACAGGGAACCACCACACATCATGTTCTGAGCTTGGCACTTTTCATGTGCCATTACTTACAAGTCTTAACAGCTCTTGTAAAGTAAATGCAGTAAGTTGTATTGTGCAGATGAGGTCAATGAGCTCAGAACTGTTCAGTAAATTACTCCAAATCACACAGTTAGTAAGGTCATGGTGGAGGTAGGATTCTAATTCTACACCACTTTTTAGCACAAAACATAACATGAGAAAAGGACCAAGATAGGTTATGCAAGGGAAGTGATTTTATGAAGGGGTCATTATGAATAGATCATTGATGAACAAGGTTTATAATGCAAAGGTGGTTTGATCTATCTTAGAATCAGCCTTGAGGTAGATAGTCAAACCACATACAATCCACTTTTAATCCTGTGAACAAAGCCATTGTACATTTCAACTGTAGACTCAAACATGGTCAGAGATGGAAAGTCACTTAGAAGACCATTTAGCTCAACTTCCTCAGTCAACAGCTAAGACTTCCAAGGTGAAATGAGAGGTTCAGTGTCACACAGGCAGTTAGCAGCAGAAGCAGCCAGGCTTCTCCTGGACCCAAGACTCCCACCCTCACGGCATGTAGCAGAGCCAACCGGGACACCCCAGTTTTAAATCCATCCGTTTAGATGCATGTACATTCTGGTTCATTTTAAATATTCCAATTTCTACTTTAGCATCTAAACCTAAAAAGAATATTAAGGGGATTCTTACAGTTCTTTGGGAAGATTTAACAAATAATAATATTTTCCGGTGGAAAATAGAATTTATCTCTAGGAACTTCTATTTTTAAAACTTGGCCAAAATTCTGGTATTGCTATATGGTGTCCGATGAGAACAAAATCTACACAGTGTCTGGGGAGGGGGGGAAACAGCCTTTTAAAAAGAAGGTGGTGCTTTTCTTCATGCAGAGAGGAATTAAAGGGATTTTTAACTTTTTTTTTGTTAGATTACATTCATTCAACAAATATTTAGAGTATCAAATAACAATAACAGCAGGACTCCTACTCTCCTTTCATATTTTGTAGCACTTATTAGTGAGCTGGGTTTTTGATAGTCATTGATTGTGCTTTCCTGTGTTCAGTATAGTAGATGGCTCCAGGACAAGAATCACTGAGATTATGTCAGCTACCACTGATGGCCTTCTGTGGAGGTAGAAGGCGATGGCTCTTGACTATTCCAATGTTTGTGGTGTTTAGAACCAGGCCACATAATATGCACTTTCTTAGTTATATCAACATCAGTAATATGAAGTCCAAAGGCTTACAATTTCTTTCATTGTGCATGCACCAGAAATTTATCATTAATAGCAGTATTTCTTATCTGGCTGCCAAGCTTGAGGTAGTATGATGGTACATATACTTAAAAAAAAAAAGAAAGAGAAAGAAAGAAAGAAAAGAAAGAAGAAAGAAAGAAAGAAAGAAAGAAAGAAAGAAAGAAAGAAAGAAAGAAAGAAAGAAAGAAAGAAAGAAAAAAGGAAAGAAAGAAAAAGCTGTACCATCTAGCTATACCATAGTACGATCCTATATCATGGAACCTAGGAAGCTTTATTAATGTGAGTTATAAAAGACAGTTATAATGTGAAAAAGCATATTATCTACTGCTTCAGAAATACTGCATTATTTTTATAAAAGATTTTATTTATTTGAGAGAGAGAGAGGGAGAGAGCACAAGCAGGGGGGAGAGGTAAAGAGAGAGGGGGAAGCAGACTCCCTAATGAGCAGGGAACCCAACTCTGACTTGATCCTAGGAGCGAGATCATGACCTGAGCTGAAGGCAGATGCTTAACTGACTGAACCATCCAGGCTCCCCAGAAATATTGCATTATTATAAACAGAACAGCTAAAGATGCTAGATCTTGGGAATCTCAAACTTTTCTACCTAATCTTCAAAATGTGCCAAACATCATTTTGGTAGAAAGGGTTGCGATGGCAATGTGGAAAGGAAGGATGTTACAGAGTAAAGGTAAAGACAAAGAAGGAGGGAAGTACACAATTCTAAGTGATTTTTATAGCAGACATTTAGCCCAAGTCAGCAAATAAATTGCCAACTGACAAGAAACTGGCATACGAACTAAGCAAGTTTTTCAAGCCAAACGTCCAGAAATAAAGGAATGCTGGTGGGACTGAATAGGAAGGGAAACCACAATAAGTCACAAGTTAGCTGGATATTGTCAGACCTATAAGGTCCAGCAAAGATTTCCTTGCCATATAGTATAGGGAGTAAAGCCCCACTTCCTGAAGATGATATTGGAAGTCAACAATGATGGAGAAACTGATGTTCATTCATCATATGGGTCCATTTCCATAAAATTCTATGTTATAAAATCAATTTGGGATTTAAGGGACCAACATCACAATCTTAGGGATTTTTGTTCCTTATAAACCATCTGGTGGAAAAGTCCTGGTGAACTATGTGGTGATGACAGGAATCTCTATAAAAATCCACAAATATGATGGCCAACACATACTCAGTCCTCAACAGTATACTTACACAAATACAAGGGAGATGGTGCACGCAATGATAACACAGATACTTTACTGATATCCATTATGGAAAATCAGCACATTTCATGCTCAGTGAATCGGTCACTAATATTGGTGACATACAGATGTTATCTGATCGGTGTGGTTTTCATGCCATTCAAAGCACTGAAGGCAGGGTTGAAACCCTTGGGCAGAAATTCCAAGAACAACACTGCGATTTGAATTTTCATGAATACAATCAGGCAACTGGTCTGTTAAGTGCTGAAAGACATTGCAAATCTGGCTATCAAGATGTTAATAAACACCTTTTGCTTAGTGTAGAGAGATGATGGAGAGTGTGGTGTGGTTAGTTCAGTTAGTGAATACATTTTGAACCCTTACACTATGTTAGCTCCTGTGGTAAGCAAAACACAGTGCATTTTTCCAAAGAGCTTACTATCTAGTAAGGCATCTTGCAATTCAGAAATATAATTATATTGATAGCACTTATAAATACTACCTAAAATAAAGATGCTTTCTCATATCACTGGTTGGTCAGACCATTTTCTATATAGCTTTCAAAGACTTATTCTGGATCCATACTGATTTAAAGAATCAAGAAGATGTTCAATCTATGATAATATCAAAATAACATAAAACTAAATCTTGAATCCAACCACATACATTTGTTTTTTTGTATTCTAGACAAACCTTTGGCTAATAATTAGAAAAATGAACTGCCAATATTAAATTGGTGACTTACTTTGGTCTGACCTTCCCAGATCCTACCTGGATTCCAAACATTTCCAAATGGCTCTTCCCGCAAATGGTGGGTAACTTGGGAATTCACTCTCCTTCTGGCACCAGCAAAAGGTAAGTAATTATTCTCTTGGTAGAAGACAATGTTGCTTTTGTAAAATCGATCAAACATTTGTATAAAGTTGTGGTTTTGAGATGAGTATCAAAATAGCATGGATTTCATTCAGGTAGCTGCCACTTTGAGTTTCAGTTAAGGTAATGTTAGGAAAGTTGGTAAATTTCAGTTGTGTTGACTGCACATGCAGAAGGACAAAACAAGATTCCTTTTGCATCCACTCTTTCAACCTATAACTCGGGGTCAGGGAGAGGGCAGGGAAGTCGTTAGAGACTCTGGAAGATATAACTTTACCTGTATGTTACGATTTTGTTTACAGTTCACTTGTAATCACTCTCTGAGAAGAGCAGTAAACACTAAATATTTAAGGGTAATGAAAATTTAGGCTGAATATCTACTTGTATCATGGGAAAGTTTTTCTCTAGCTGCTCTGTGGTACCAGTGTCTGCGACTGTACATCCCACTGAAAAATATAAAGAGTTCCAAAGGGTAAAATTAAGGGTAGAGAACATCTGACCTCAATCATGGGCGTCAGGATAAGAAATGCATAACACATGCTCACAGCTCAAAAGCAGTGATCTCGAGGTTACTGGAGACAGAGGATGGCAGCCGTTCAGTTGGACATCTGGATCTCAGTGGCTCCAGAATGGGATTGTTCTCACATGAGATCTGTCTATGAGAAGCTCAGCCCATCTTCAGTAACGGCTTTGAGAATCTGATTTCATCTTCACGTAGCACCCAACAAGTGGTAAATTTTTACATATACACAAGATCCTTGTTTCTGGAAAGTAAAGATTGCCCAAAAGCAAAATATTAAAACAAGAAGGATCATTCTGGGATTGTATGGCTCTGTCCAAACTCATCCTTCATCATTAGTGCCTACACTCAAAAGTAATGAAGGGTACTGTTAAGGGTCTTGGCTGTCTTCCTGTATTATTTGATATCATCCAAATACATATAACAGGGGTACCTGGGTGGCTCAGTGGATTAAAGCCTCTGCCTTCGCGATCCCGGGGTCCTGGGATAGAGCCCTGCATCGGGCTCCCTGCTCAGTGGGGAGCCTGCTTCCTCCTCTCTCTCTGCCTGCCTCTCTGCCTACTTGTGATCTCTGTCTGTCAAATAAATAAACAAAATTAAATAAATAAATAAATAAATAAATACATATAACATTTTACCTACTTTTTTAAAAGTTCAGTTTCATTCCCTCTTCTGAGAAGAGTAATAAACAGCAAAATGCTGATGGGTAATAAAGTTCAGCATATGCAAGGTTGGGTTAGTATGTAAGTTTAGTTGTCATTAATTTCAAATGGTATTATATAACTATTATAATTGGTAACTAGGAATTATGAAGTATTTATATATTTAAACATATACATTCAGCTAATCTATCAGTGTACCAAATAAAGGAATTATATTTAAATTCTTAAAAATTACAAGGTTAAGGGACGCCTGTGGCTCAGTTGGTTAAGCCGCTGCCTTCTGCTCAGGTCATGATCCTGGGGTCCTGGGATCGAGTCCCGCATCGGGCTCCTTGCTCGGCAGGGAGCCTGCTTCCTCCTCTCTCTCTGCCTGACTCTCTGCCTGCTTGTGTGTACTCTCTCTCTCTGACAAATAAATAAAATCTTAAAAAAAAAATTACAAGGTTAAGACTGCTAATATACATAAATAAGACCTTGGGATAGACATTTGAATGAATGGAAACAGCTTCTTGGATGGAAGGCCACCAGTGCAAAGTAACTTATGAATATAAGTATGTTGTTGGCATAGTCCTTGTTCGACAGTGGAAATTTTTCCTATAGCAGATCATAAAAGGTGTCATAAACTACATTTGTATACTTATGTAGGCTTTTGTTTTTTGTTTTTTGTTTCTAAATTTTTATATAACTAGTTGGTACAAATCCCAAACCATTAAATAACTGAGGTTATTTTAAAAACAGTTTGAAGGGATAAGTTTTTTGCTCAATTTACTTGATATTGCTATTTATGTAAGAATTGTACATTTTAATTGCTGTAATTGGCTGCAATTGGCTGGGACAGGGGCTTAGCAAAGACTCTGGAGCCTATCTCATTACTGCATTTGCTCAATAAATAAGCACCTTTCTAGGAAACACACTTTCTTTAATGTGTGACATAGTGTAATATTTAAATCAACTGTTCAGAAATTGAGAGAAGTTCTTGAAATGATTGAGTTAAGATTCTTTAGAATTGGAATTCTGTGTAGATTTCGATTTAGTCCATTCCTAAACAAATGAGAAGGGAAAACAACTTAATTTCAAACAAACATTTCGAAGTATCAATCATAAGTAATGGGGGGAGAGGTACAACATGTAAGATAAAAGGCCAAGACAAATTATATATGGCCATTAATCATCATTCTTCCAAGGACAAAGAGACAGAATGATGCCATAAATCCCTGATCGCAGTTGGAGACAGTGAGGGAAAGTTGGGTGCAACTTAACTGTTCAGTGGTCATCAAACCAAAATCTTTTTTAAGCCGACAATGTCAGAGTCTGGAGATGTTACTCCAAAGCAGAGTGTGGATGACTGTGGGCTGCTGTTACAAACAGAAAAAAATGAAACTACATGTGAAATGATCACACAGAACCAATGTCCCAAATCTGGCTGCTTCCAAGCATGTGGGAGGAAGGAAAAACAGGACCGGAACTCAGTCCTAAAGAAGTTCATATCATTTTGATAATAAAATACCTATTATACACTCCAAACCAGACAGAGGAGTACACCTACAGGTCCTGATGATCCTGATAAATGGGGAAGAGTTCTGGTTAATTGAAATAAGCCAGGCAGAGCTGGTGGGGAAGTAACCTTGAGAGGTAAATCAAGCATCTTTGGAAGCTGCTTTTTAAGTCTTCCACCTGGGTGACCAAGGGGACTGGAGTCATAGCTTGGACATCTGGGAGGATATATAATACTGGAAACCAAATTTTAAAAGGGTACCCTTGTACCTCCGGTGGAAAGGAAACCACATTCTCGTTTTGTTCGGGGATAGGAACTAAAGCTCAAAGACAGCTATAATCAAATGAATCTTTAAGGCATGGCTCTTGAACTTGAGCATTCATCAGAAGCCCCTGGAAGACTTTTTATAACACATTGCTGGTCCTGCCCCCAGAGTTTCTGAATCAGTAGATTTAGGGGTGACCTGAGAATTTGTAGTTAACCAGCTCTCAGGTGCTGCTACTGCTGCTGGTTTGGGAACCACATTTTGAGAACCGGGAGTTTAAAGAATACTGGACAAAAGGATATGTACCTTACAGAAAATTAGGATTTGTTCTCAGTGGAATCTAATCAGTAAGTTTACATGCAGTTAAAATTAAAAAATGAGCAATGACTACCACTGCTAATTTGCAACAGTCAACCTAACCTCACAAAAGACTTCTCCAATGGAAAAAATGGGAAACTCTTTCCACGGTACACATTGGCTTTATTGGCTGTGGTCTTAGTCAAAGCACAGAATGAGCCTTGGCCAGCAGCATGAGGTCTCTCAAGCTTGCAGCTGTTGGGAGGAGGCTGCTCTGCCAGTGACTCTGGGCAGGAAGTGCCTCATTAGAACCGGTGCATCTATTTTATTCAACTCAGAATAAAGTTAAAAAAAAAAAAAAAGGGCAAAACTCCCTAGGTTTCTCCAAACTTCTTCTACACAGCCCAACCTCTCCAAAGCCACCATATCAGATAGCTTTACTGCCATGACTGCCTGACTTCTGGTAACTGACAGCTTGAGGTTCAGAATGATGGGAAGTTTTCAAAATGCAAAGCCGTAAATCAAGCCTGTATCTTCACTCATGGTGGGCTTAATGATAGCATAAATAAAATGGAAATCCAAAATGACAGACAAGCACAGGGCACTCAGACTGAAAAAATATCTGAAAGGAGGCCACTTTCCACCCAGATCCAGACTGCCAGGAAGCAGTCCACAGAGAACATTAAAGACCAGTGCAACGTGCATCAGTGCGCGAGTTCACGGCACTTCTCACCGCACCGCTTTCCAGGACCCTACATCAGATAAAGGGCGTAGTGCTACCGCAGTTTTGTTTTGTTTTTCTTTCAAGTAAACAGTTTAAAATGTGTGTTGTTGAAGGCAACCCAGCTTCCTCTGTGCTCATATCATTTTACAGAACTCCTGCCATCCTTCATTCCCTTCTCCAGCTAAGTGCTCAGCAATAATGGACAAACAAAATTTAAACTAGCATTACCACTACCCTAGGGAGAACACTGAATACGAGTTATGCAGTATGATCTGATAATAGCTGGCTTCAAGAGCTGGGGAAAAAGAAAAAAAAAACCACCACCTTGTACAGGGGATATATTCGAAACTTAGAGTTTAAATCCTATGTGCAACGTGACACATATTTTGGGAATTGCTCTTTCGGCTTTCAGGTAAAAAAGATGACATAAATAGGTTCTCCTGATAGATGAAGTACGTGTAAATATGCTCTAAAAAAGAGCTATGCACCATCCCACAAGGGTGAAGAGAAACAATCTTGTTTTACCAAAGGGAGCATTTCACCCCTGGTGAACAGACCAGCCTATGTCACTAGAAAAAAAAAGTATATATATATATATCAGTTAATTACTAATCTTACTCACTAGCTCTTTACTTTTATTTTTTTTTTAAGATTTTATTTATTGACAGACAGAGATCACAAGTAGGCAGAGAGGCAGGCAGAGAGGGAGGAGGGAAGCAGGCTCCCCACTGAGCAGAGAGCCCAATGCGGGGCTCAATCCCAGCCAGGACCCTGGGATCATGACCTGAGCCGAAGGCAGAGGCTTTAACCCACTGAGCCATCCAGGGGCCCCCTCACTAGCTCTTTATGGTTGCCATTTATTCTGATGTCTTGAAATGCAGGCACAGTGCAAGCAGGCATGACTCTAGTCCCTGGGCCGACCCAAGTAAAGGGCATAAATTTGCTTCCAAAGATCCTTGAGGAAATGACTATGAAACCTAGAGAAAGAAATGAGAGAGATAGACAGACATTTGGAGGAAATATTTCCAATTGAAATAGGGTATTTCAAGAACAAAGGGAGATCCACTATCTCGAAGTACATATTTTCACCTTGTTGGCCAAGTGTTTTAAAAGCCATTTGAACCTCCTGGTGGCTTCAAAAATACACCTGACTCTAAATGAAAAATTTGTAAGAAAAACAAAAACAAAAGGAAACTGTAATTTGATAGAAAACCCGATACTACAACATTTAGACTTGTCCCTTAAAAAAAAAAAAAAAACTTTTAAGAAAATATTAAATCAGAATAAAAGGGAATCGTCAATTAGTGACTAACTAATGAGCATATAATATAATCCTCCTTTCCCTTAAAATAAGATCTTTTCTTACTTTTAAATTATAACATGTAAACTATTGGTAGTTTAATATCCATTAATTTTGTTTAAAAAAATATTGCTTCAAGCCAGTATTCTGATCTTTTATTTCCCATCAAGTATCAGCTAAAATGACACAGAGCTCCAATACTTAAGGGTAAATTGCACCTTTTTAAAAAAATTAAATAATGCCAGTCAAAAGGCTTTACTAAAGGATATCGTATGAGAGGAAGTCAAGTCGTGGTGATCTATGGAGTGATGACAGAACACAGTGTGGGCATGAATGTCCAGCGTCTGCCAGTCTGAGAAAGACACGGCATTCATTCTGGAATGGCAACTGTGTGACTTCAGTGCCTTAAAACATAGCAAGTTATTGTTAGAATTACAGGCAAGGAGTGTGGTATGGCACTTTTTTGAGTATGGTAGCCTTTTTGTTTTTTCATGTTCCCACCTCTGTGCTCCCTGGTACAAGACTCTACCTTTTGAAAGGTGGAGGTCATTGGATTATATATTGTTTTGACTGTCCTCCTGAAAGGAAACTAACATGGTGCTATGTTTAGAAATCTAGTATTTTCCTGCAGAGAGCGAGGCAACAAGTTCTCATCCACAACTGTCACATGGCTTTGTACCATGTCAGAGTCAAGCTGTGTTACAGAAGATATCCAGCCACAGAAATACTCCTCCGCTTTCAGCCAGGGGCACTCAAAGACACTTGTCATTTAGATCCTTTTGCAATTGGCTGGTCCTGAAAGACATGCAGGTGCTACAAACCTCTGACAGTCTGTCCCCTCATTGTAGGTCGCAGTTATGAGACTTCAGAGGTCAAAGGTGGGGGCTGATCTGGTGGAACTCTTTTCGTGACCTGCGTGGGGTTTGGATTTAGGGAGGATGTGGGCCTAGATGTGGTTAAAGCAGGAGAGGCTAAACTGGGGGCAGATGAGGTTAGAAGTTGAAGGTCTGCCTGGTCTCACCAGAACAGAAAAATTGGTTTACTTTGTTACTAATCAAAAGCAAGGAGACTTCTCTGAAATCTGTTTGGGGGCTTGGACTCTAAAGTCCTGTTTCTAGATGTAAGCATTTCTCCTAGCCTTAAATTAGATGTGTCGTGTTTTGTACGGAAATGGAATCTTTCATGGTTTAAATTTCTTTTCTCAAATAGGGATAAGCTGATGTTTTTATTGCTAAACATTTGAGAACTTAAAAGTTGAAAGATGTAACTATTTTTATATCATACTTTGCTACATGAAATGCCTTTAATATACAAACTTTCCCAAATTTACTTTCCAGCTTACAGTTCATGGTTTAGTTTTGATCCAAGAAAACCAGATGCCTTTGTGAGGGCAGCTTCCTCATTTGAAGGCCGTGAAAATCACAAATTTTCTTTCTTTCTTCTTAAAATTAAATTGAGAGTAAATACTGGGATAGTTTGAGGAGAGGGTGTAAGAATCTTAGAAAAGGAATAATTTGCTCAATGATCATTCCTATTCTTAGCTATTATATGATGTAGAGTTGGGTTTATAGTACAAATCCTGAGAAGAACAATTTGAGATTCCTACCTCCTTGCTAAAAAAATGTTTGCTAAGTAAATATACCATCTAATTATATGTAAGAATTTGGTCCCATTAAAAAAATATATTTGCTATTTAACTATAAGATTAAATATAGATTAAAGAAAATATAACAATTACTGTGATTCTAAATACAACTTACATACCATTGACCAGAGGCTCAAAATGGAAAATGCATTTACCTCACTTGAAGGGATAAAAATGAAAAAAAAAAAAAAAAAATTGGCTTGTTTTCTTAGCTAAGTAGGTAGGCACTTTTAACCCACATAACCTTTTAATCCAAATGCCTTATGTGTATTGTTTTATTAAGCTACAGGTCTTATCTCTTTTATTAGTACAAATATGTAAACTATAAGAAAAGCTGGTGATTCTGGGAAACTGTATGCATAAGACGTTATATAACCAACTGGTTTCCAACCTTTAAATCAGACACTAGTAAAGGAAGTAATAACAACGTTAGCCAATGGGAAAAACATCCAGCCAGATTTCTCCCAGCTGTGTTTCTCCCCTCTGTGGCCTTCAGTAACTTCAGTGGAAGTTCAGTGTGTTTAGGGAGAAAGATGGCCAGAAGAATCAAAATTATTAAACCAAAAAGGTCAATCTTCAAATTAAGTCTTGGACCAGGCTCAGTGCAAGAATAAGGTTAATCCCTTCCAATGTCCCAGTATTATAAGCAATATGGCTGATCAGCCACAACTCAAATGGGGCTGATATCAGGAGTTATCCTGCCAAAGGGGTGAATGAAGGAAAAATAGTTGTTGGCTTTGAAATGTACAAATCAAGCTATTAGTGTTTCCTTAGCATTCCTTTTGATTTCTAACTCGAGTTTATGGTGACTGCAAGAGATAGGAAAAATCCTCAGAAAAGACAGGTCCTTGGATTGATTTCCATATAAATAGAGGGCCAAGGAATTTTGACAAAATTGTTGCTCACAAAAAGTTGACTTTGCCTTTGAAGTTCTTGTGTGTTCCATATTTACCGTCAGACACCTTCATTCATCCAACAGTAGCACAGGGTGTTCGATAATATGATATAATGGCTTTATTTTTTTTTCAGATTAAAAAAGGTCTTTCATAAGATCCTTCTCCATTCTGTTATAAAATCATCAGCTAATATGTTTTCAAGGATTTGCCAGGTAAACAATCTGTGTTACCTTCAACTTTCAGGTCTAACTGGCTTGATGTATTTTTTTTTCCTTTAATGGCCACAGATGTGTGAATAGTGGTTTAAACCAGTTCCTACTAAAAAGAATGGACTGCCTGGAGTTCCTGCTGACATATTAAGGGAAAAGCTATTTAACTCAAATCCACAGGATTTTTAAATTAAATCCATAGGATTTAAATAAAACGTGTTCATATTCTCCCTTATTTTCTCCCTAGTAAGTCATTTCGGTCCAAGGAGAGAAAATATTACAGTGTTGGTCAAAACATCAATGAAAATAGTGACATAATTTCTCTCTACCCCCCAATATTACTCTGGTGTGATATAGGTTCTGAGAAGCACCAGGACTGAGAGCCGCTCCTTCCAAAAGGGCTACTCTCACCGAACCTTACTGTGCTCATCAGCCCATTAACAGCTGGAAGTCCTGTGGTTAGAGAAAACAAAACCAAACCTGTTCAATTTTGTCTAATGCAGAATTTCTCCAGCTAGTCTGAACACATCACTCCTTTTTTCATGGAATCCCTAATGCCAAACAAACTGTACGTCATGCACAGCTGGTTTTGTGTTTCCGTTTTCCTTCCTAGCACAATGACTGGCCCCTACTAGGAGCTCAACAGATTTCCATAATGGATAAATAATAAAATGCATGGCTGTCCTCCCAGAGGTCATGTAGATTGCATTATGTAATTTTTTTCAGATCAAAGATCTCTGTCTCCTGCAGTAACCACTGGCACTCAAGTTCAGAGACGAAGAGTACCGTTTCTTCTGGACATTTAACTATAGTAAGTTTGTAAAACATATGGTTGTGGAAATAGAAGCATCTTTACAACATGTGAGAAACTTAACAAGCAAGTATACTTTAACAAACACAAAAGGTTATTAGGAAGGTATTGCTTTATTGCCCTTGTCCCTCTGAAGAACATTCCATCATGGCCCAGTGGGATTCAGTTCGTGGATGTTTTACTCTTGGTTAGCATTTAATAGAAATCTTTCTCCACTGGTAGATTAGCATGTAGAGAGCAGAAGTTCTTAAAAACACTTTGATGTTGAGAAAGGTTGAGATGCTGAAAGTATATAGCTCCAGATTATACGAGAACACTCGCAGAGCAAATCTCATGACACAGGAGTCTGGCAACTGTGCATTTGGTCAGAGTAAACTGAAAGATGGTCCAGAATATGACTGAAGTTATCACAGTGAGATATTTGGCCACAAAAAGATAAATAAATAAATTGTGCTATGAATTCTTTACAGTGTTCTACAATTCAGGTATCACTTGTAAATTCTTTATTGCTATTAAAAATGGATGATTGGAAATAAAATTTTAAGGTACTGCATGTAGTAACAGACTGCTGAGATGATGGATGTAACAATCCTGAGCATTTATAAAACGGACTGTCTAATATTATATATGCATATCTCCATGACATGTCATAACACGTGAAAATTTATTAGGGAGAAAGCATTTTTTAAAAAATCAATTGTATATAAACACTCCCTGAATCTAAAGTGCTGGCAACTTCTGCCTCAAGAGGAACTTGTTTCCCTGCTTTTTAGCCAGTCATTTGTTTAAAAAAAAAAAAAAATCCCAATTATAAATCCAAATTTTGTTTGGAAAAATGTGACTGACCACACGTGAAGAATGAAAATGTAAAGTGAAAAGTATCTCCCTTTCTCTGCTGGTATCAAGTTGCCAGTAAGTTAGCCGTATGTCATTCATGAGCTGATATGACTTGGATTGATTTAACTTCTATCCTTCCCAAAGACCAAATATATCGCTGTTTCCGTCAGCGCTTGGCAATGCTGAAGAGCAGAAGCTGCGCATACGTCTGCTAGACAATCTGGGCCAAACTGCAACAGGGACAGATATGCTGTCATTGGTAAAATACTCATGTAAAGCAACAAATTACATTTTGCTTTTTTTGCTTTCATAGTCCTCCTTCTTAGACTGTGGACCTGTTCCATCCGTTGGTAAACCTGTGGCATCTTCCTTGATTGAAGGTGAATCTGGAGTAACTGTTCTTTTGGTAAATGCTGGCAAGGTGAGAGAAAAGACAAAAATAAACCCAGATGAAGAGAACTCCCGGGGTGACAAAACTGTAAGTAATCACTGTGTCTGAACTAGTTTCCTGTAAACTTTACATGGTATAGACCTTAACAGACCTCCCATGTAGGAATAAATGTAGTACAGTTACTGTATTTTGGAAAACATCTATTCATAGGATTTAATTTTGGCGGGATTTGAAGAGTATCTCAGAACAAGAGATGCGCATTTGGTCAATATACAGTGATATAAACCACACACACAATTTGGAGGGAGAAACCTTCATTGTCTTCTTTTCATGGAATCGTCCGTGTGCCACAAACTGAGACTAGATCTGGAATCTAGGCTTACTATCTTTCTACAACCACTTACCTCTCTTCTGAGCTCCAGATGGCCAAGTCAAACTACCTACAGGAAGCCCGCCTGTCTGATACCAATCTCTGATGCTTGCCCACCCCTTACTTTCTCCATCTTAGAAAGTGACACACTCCTCATCCCAGCCTGGGTTTCTCAAACTTTTGTTCCCTCCTTCTTTTGTCCTGTCTGCTCCACTCATCCTACTTAAGAGTAAATTCTGAAGATTTTACCTCCCAAATTCACCCCAGGCCTCGGGCTCCATACCTTCTCCATTTCTATTGGCTCAGCCCAAGCCACCATTTTCTTCCTGACGATTTTTACTAGCCCCTTCTCGAAACCACAACCAGGATTATCTTTCCAAAAGGCACATTATGTCACTTTCCTCCAGTGGCCTCCCAGGAAACTCCGAATAAAATCCAAACATCTGACTGTGGTTGAAAAGGCTCCCAGGGAACTTCACCCCTCCTCTCCCTCTCCCTCTCTCTCTGCATCTCTCCTTTCCCGCTCAATCAGAGCGCCATCTCTCTGGAAGACCATATCCAATTATTTTCTGTAGCCTTTATACTTACTGTTCCCTCTATCAGGAAAACTCTTCCCACCCAATTTTAACTCAGCTGATTCTTGCCATTTAGGCTTCGGTTCGTTGTAACCTCCTCAGAAAGGAATCTCCTGATCACTAATCTAAAGTAGTCCGTTCCAGGTACTTTCTACCATTTTATCTTCAAGCACCAAACACCATTTAAAATGATCTATTACTGTTTACTGCCTCTTTCTTCTATGGGATGAGGTAACATTTTCTCTCTTGTTCTCTTACTGTATCCTCCCTGAGGCCAGAGAGCCTCCTGCATAACATTTTAGTAAATACTGTTTAAGGAAGTGAATATACTTATGGGATTTTTAAGAGATAGTGAATTAGGGATTTTCTAGCTGCTTTCTAGAGAGTATCTGCAGAGTACCTTGTGCATCGAAATAATCAGAACTCAGTTATTTAAAAATATCTGACACCTAACTGGTCAGTGAAAAGATTGTCACATACACAAAAGTCACTATCACAAGAACTGAACCTATAAAATGGAGAGACAAATGTTGTGTTTCCATGAAATAAATAAATCCTTAATGGAAAAGAAACATTTTTTTTTTACCTTTATCATTACCCCTACATTTTGATTGCCATAAATCTTTGGCATTTTATTCTGCAAGTCTGAGGACAGACTACCTATGAAGCAGTTCAGTTAGCCAGTGGATCCTGAGGTATGGCATAGAAAAGAGTGTATACTGTTCTTGCTGCAGAGAAATTATTTTTCATCAGAGGGATTTAAACATTCCACTTTTTTAAAAAATTTTATTTATTTATTTGACAGACAGAGATCACAAGTAGGCAGAGAGGCAGGCAGAGAGAGAGAAGGAAGCAGGCTCTCTGCTGAGCAGAGAGCCGGATGTGGGGCTTGATCCCAGGACCCTGGGATCAGGACCTGAGCCAGAGGCAGAGGCTTTAACCCACTGAGCCACCCAGGCGTACCTTAAATACCCCACTTAAAGCACCTCAAAATACAAACTGAGAACAATGACCTTTCTTATAGCAAGTAAACGGAGGTAAGAAAGTTCCTTTTGGTAACTTTCATTGACTTGCTTTTTAAAGAATATCAAGTTAAATTAGTATGTAAGATTCACATTCAAATCCTATAATAATCTGAAGATAACATCCTCCCCTTGAAAAAATCATAGTCCTTTATTTTGGGGTTTGTTGATTTTAATAAGCATTACTGACAATAGTTTTAGAACCACAGAAAGTTTGAAATCTGCATTTATTTTAAAACTTTAGCTTAGAGATACCAACTCCATAGACATTAGGCATTTTAATCTTAAAGGACTCAAGATTTGGAGAAGTCATCAGATTACTACAGCCCTCTCTCAAATCCAGTCTGCTCCTGGCCCCAAGAGTGAGGGCCCTGTCCTAGGAGTCATGTTCCTTTAGCCTAAAAGAAGCTATATACATGGAGACTAGTGGTCAGTCACTACTTATAAAAAGTAAAAATGACAGTTTCAAAAGCTGGCATTATAAGTCTCTCTTTCTAAGCCCCCACTGTCTAGAGGCTGAAGGTAATGGAATCCAAGCTTTCTAAAAGAGTATCCTGAATCACGGCCATCACTTCTAGCCCGCCAGGATAAATTTGGTAGTAATCATGGCTCTAAATAATGGATTTCTGTGTTCCTATTTCCAATGGTAATATAAACTTACAATTTATACATTTCTTCCCTTCTTCCTGGCAGAAGGAATCTACCTTTTCTTGAATTGACCTGAACTACACAAAGCTGACATAAATTACTACTTAAAACAAACTTTCATTAATGCTGGATCATTTCAGAGACCACAAATTATTCAGTATTTTCCCATTTCCTTTGTTTTTTCCATGGTCAGTGATTCTACGCTTTCGTTTGGTCACAGTTTGACAGGGCGCCTACGTCAGCAGAATGAAAGCCTTAGCATCTACAGCACAGACAGAAGGGCCTCGTCCTGTACAAATCTCAACTTGAGTGAGAAGGAGCCTGTTTTGTGGGCTCATAAACTTGCGTCTGCCTCAGCACCTATGGTTATGCACTCCTCACACCTCCATACAGGTCTAAACTGCTCTAAACTCCAACCCCCAGCTTTCATGTTCCATTCACAAGGCAATGAGAAAATCGAACACTTGCTAGTCAGACATAAAAGCAGGGGTGTTCTTAATAGCATTTTATTTTTACAAAATGCCTTTCCAGCCAAAGTGGACATACAACCTATCAAATAGCAACAAAGGGCTACATAGAGAGGCAGCAGCCTCTTACCTCATCCCACCCAGTCCCCCAATCCTGCACCCCAGGGTCAACCACAATCAACCCTTTTAGCTTTCTTTTCTGCATTTATTTCAATTTTGTAAGAAAAAGAAGCTTATATGGCTATTTTCTGACTTATCATTTATAAATGTATTCACACCCATCCACTTCCCCTCACCCCATCCTCCTTATATAGTTACATTTGAACTAGTTGTGTCGGTAGTGAGTATTTATAATATTATGTAAATACAGCTCACACAAACCTAGTAAGTATACTATGACAACGTTTCTTTTCTTACCCATTTTTCCCATAGAGTTATTAATTGACCCATGTTTTTATTTTTGTTTTTTTATTTGCTCTTACTCTGTGACTATCCTTAATTATTTTAATAGCTCAATGAGATCTGCCAGATTCTAAGTGCTCACCTGAATCAAATAACCTAACATCATTATTTTCTAAAAATTTTCCTAATGGAATCTTTACTTTCTTCTATCAAGTTGAGAGAACTAAACACGAGTCTCCAGATTAAAAGTGCCCGCCCATCAAATGGCTAGAAAAGCAAATAAAGTAAGGCGCGCAGGGAGGTAAATCATCACAAAATTCGCTGGAGTTC